ACTTTTTTATGACAATTATTGGGACACTACAGTAATAGTTGACACAAGTGTCTATTTGCATATCTACTTTACCACCATTACCATGAGTCTCTTTGCATGTGTCATGTTCAATATTTCGAGGGTCATGCCCTAACGTCGAACAATATTTTTCCTGTCATGCTCTAATGTTTTCAGTTTTTTAGAAACTTGATTCTCCTTAGAGAAGGCTAATGTGTTGAAGGTCTCTTTTCCAAATCTCAACAGGTGGTTCTGAAGGTTTATTTGCACAAAAAACTCTAGAGATCACCAATGATGTTCTTGCTACCTATAAGAATCAAGGTAATTCACATCTGGATGAAGTTTGCTCTTTATATTTTCGTTTGGCCTTTTTTGGCTTATTTTTGTTGCCTTTTTCCTTATTAAGGTGGATATGACATGCTGGGACGGACAAAAGATCAGATTAGAACGACTGAGCAAGTAAATGCTGCAATGGCTGCATGCAAAGCTTTGAAATTGGATGGCCTTGTCATCATTGGAGGTATTGATACTGCTACAGTTATTAATGGTATATGATGAATCTAAAAGTACACTATTCCACTTCATCTAAAGTCTAACAGTATGCATTGGCTTGAAGGAGTGACATCAAACACCGATGCTGCTCATCTGGCAGAAAAATTTGCAGAAACAAAATGCCTTACAAAAGTATGTGTTATCCCCCTTGTGACATGTAAAGCAATGAATATTCTATTCTATTTTTTCTGATTTTTCCTGCTTCTAATCCAAACTTTGCATCTTATATCCGCCATATTGTCTTATTGCATTAGTATCACACCAAATTAATGTCTTTATCTTCTTTAGGTGGTTGGTGTTCCTGTTACATTAAATGGGGATCTCAAGAATCAGTTTGTTGAAGCGAACGTTGGTTTTGACACAATCTGCAAGGTATTAATACAATCACCACATAGAATTAGCTCGTAACTAACTTTCTTTTTTTCCTTGAAATGCATTGCCGTGGAGATTCTTCTTCTTCATGCTTCCCACTCCTTGGTTTAGGGTTGGTTTTTTGGTTTCTAGGTGGGCTTAGAGTTTGATTGGACCTCCTGCTTCAATCTTCTTCTTCTTTCTTCTTGTTGTTCTTTGTAGTGGAATTGGTGGCATCATTCCTCGTTTGATGGTATATTCCCTTGGGTAGATGTAGGTTTTGCAGTGTTATATTGCACTTCAATGGACTTTTGGATGGGGAGTAGCCCTTCTTCTTCTCTTTGTGATGTTGTGGATGTTAATTGAGTTATACAAGCCTTGGACTAGCTGATGTGTCTTTTGACTTCTTGATTTCTGGAATTCTATCTAATTGTGATTTAGATCAGGGAAAAGCTAATTATATGTGGTTCCACCTCAGGTTAACTCCCAACTTATTAGCAATGTATGCACTGATGCACTCTCAGCTGAGAAGGTACCAACTCTATTCATATCCTGAAATGTTTTTCGTTGTTGCTTCTGATGTAGTAGGGTGCTGAAAATACAACATAGAATACTAATCTGGTTGTACGAAATCCTGATGGGGGATTGTCCTCACTAGTTGATTATGATTTACAGCACATGTTTCTTGTTACACCTTTGTTTTTGTCTTTCTATTAACGTACTGTGGGGATATTTCCTTTTCAGTATTACTATTTCATTAGACTCATGGGGCGAAAGGCATCACATGTTGCATTAGAGTGCACTCTGCAGTCACATCCTAATATGGTTAGTTTTATCTCTGAGATGATAAGCTGGTGCTGCACCTTGGACATGGTGCTTCTTATATATTGCGAGTGTTCTTGCTTAATAAATGTTGAGCGATCTTGCAGGTGATTCTTGGAGAGGAGGTAGCTGCATCAAAGCTTACTATTTTTGACATCACACAACAAATTTGTGATGCGGTTCAGGCTAGGGCTGAACATGGTATTGAAGCTACTAGGTTATCATTTTCCTTTAGAGTCATTTTTGAGTTTTCCGGTCAGCTGACTAAGGTTTTGCATTCAGATAAAAATCATGGTGTTATCCTGTTGCCTGAGGGCCTTATTGAAAGTATTCCTGAAGTATATGCTCTATTGCAGGTATGATGCAAACTAAATTGTTTAATAAGATATCTTAGCTGCTTTGTTGGGATGTGGATTTGTTATGATATTGCCTTTTCTGATTGACTATGAATTTCAGGAAATTCATGGTTTACTCAGGCAAGGTGTTTCTGCTGATAAGATTTCCTCTCAACTATCACCATGGGCTTCTGCACTTTTTGAATTTTTGCCGTATTTTATCAGAAAACAGGTGTAGTTTCTGTATGTGTATAAATTGACTGACTGAAGTTCCATAGGACAGTGCTTACACCCCTAGACTTGTGATTTTGCAGCTTCTCCTACACCCAGAATCAGATGACTCTGCTCAGCTATCACAGGTTACTACACTTGCTGTTTGGATGATGCTGCTTGATGATATATGAACTATCTATCAGTTGATTGTCTTTAATGTTTTCCTTACAGATTGAGACCGAGAAACTTATTGCTCATCTCGTGGAAACAGAAATGAACAAGCGATTGGTAGGTTAATGAAATCAATTAAGTATGTTGTATCTAATGATTCTTTGGGATTGCTAACAAGAGATTGAGAGTAAGTTAGAAGTACAATGTCCCGTAATGATTGAGGATGATGTTTGTGCAGATAAAGATATTTTGAACCCAAGAGTTCTAGGAAGTTACTCAAATTGTCTCTTTCTCCTATTCATGAAAAAAGATTACTTTTTTCCGTTCTGCTTGTTAACTTCAATGGGATGATGTATGATCTGCAAAGGCTCAAACATCAGGTGGATCAAATTTCCCCATTGCACAAAATTTTCATATTCAGTAATTCTTTAGTTTTCCTCTGATGGAAGTCAGTCCCTGACGATCAATCATTCTTTTCTCTTTTTATTTTCATCAAGATGTTTCTTGTTACTTTGCTTTAACAGACTATTTGTAGGTGAGAGTTAAAAGGAAAAAGACTGCATCTACATGCTCTAAAGATACCTGCTCCCAATTTTTTATGTATGACTGTCCATTTTCTTCTGTTCCTTTACAGAAAGAAGGAACTTACAAAGGAAAGAAATTTAATGCTATTTGCCATTTCTTTGGTTATCAAGCACGGGGATCATTGCCATCAAAGTTTGATTGTGACTATGCCTACGTAAGTTTTGCTGGAGTTTCTATATCTTCTTTCTAATCTTGATTTCAGATACATAATTTCGACAAAACCAAATGCAGGTTCTTGGTCATGTTTGCTACCATATTTTAGCTGCTGGTCTTAATGGTTACATGGCTACTATTACCAACCTGAAGAATCCTGCCAACAAGTGGCATTGTGGTGCTGCCCCTATATCTGTAAGCAGCTTCTTTGAACTTTTCCGGAGATTCACCCTAAGCTTCCACTTTTTTGAAGTTGCGAATATCCAAAAATGATTTGCTCTGTTCACTGCTTCGTTACTGCAGGCAATGATGACTGTTAAGCGTTATGGTCGTGGTCCCGGTAAAGCATCAATTGGGGTACCTGCTTTGCATCCTGCTACTGTGGATTTGAGGGGCAAATCATACGAGTATGTCAAATTTCTGAATTGTTGTTTATATATATTTTCAGCTTAAAATGAATGGAACTTTTGAATTTCAAAAGGTAGGAAGTAGTAGACATCAAATCAAAAGGAGATGCTTTTAAGAAGTGGCACTCTAAACATGCATTTTGTAAGTAAACTGCTGGAGCAATACGTATCCTCTTGCAGCACCTAATTTCTCTCTTCATTTTGTGCAGGCTGTTGAGTCAAAATGCAACAAAGTTTTTGTTGGATGATGTTTATAGAAACCCAGGTCCCCTCCAGTTTGATGGCCCTGGTGCAGATGCCAAGGCCGTTAGCCTTTGTGTTGAAGACCAGGATTACATTGGCCGTATTAAGAAATTGCAGGAATACCTAGACAAGGTGCTGAATTTTGAAACATCATCTCTTTTTACCAACTTCTGTTGGCTATTCATTTAATGTATCATTTCTGACTGTGTTATGACATGCTTTGTTATTTTATTTTCAGGTGCGTACAATTGTGAAGCCCGGTTGCTCACAAGACGTCCTGAAGGCTGCATTAAGTGCCATGGCTTCTGTGACTGACATTCTTTCAGTGATATCGTCACCCTCAAGTGTGAGCACACCATTTTAGATGAGAACCTATCATCTTTTAACATTGAAAAGATTTGGAGGAACTCTTGCTTTTGCGGCTGTTTACTTAGTTGTTTTTGTGCATTTTTCTTTTTTCAATCTTGTAAAAGCCAAATAATGTTGAGAAGATTATACTACTTTCTGAGAGTTTGTTGAGGGATCCAAATATTCCTGTGCGTTAATAAACTATTACAGTACGTACATATACCCCTTCAAATCATTTTTCTTGACGACTAAATAGTGTTTAGACAATACTTGATCGAACTTGACAGTAAAAAATACTTAGTATTAGTGTTTGGATATGAATTTTATATATAAAGTAAATGCTGAAGATTTAGAAAACAATGGACACGAATTTTATGAGTGCAGTCAGTATTTCACTTAAAATACTCTTCAAGTACTTAAATAGGTTAAGGCACTGGCCTGTTTATTCAATGGTTTTTTGAGTTTTCTTATGGTTGTTTATTTGATGAGCAAAGCCCAATTGACATATTCTTCCTGTGTTACATACCGTTAAAAAAATTGGTCAATAAATAAAGAAGGTGATGTCCAACAAACCTATGTATGCCTTGTGGGAGTGTCTGCATTTGAAGTTAGAATAGGAGGAATGATACAGAAGTAGAAAAATAGTTGCCTCGAGAGCAAAATATTACTACTATTATTCTGGTGGTATTTGAATTTGCGGAGTGGGCAATTCTTGGTTGAACTCTCATCCAAGGCATCGTCGTCTTTCTCTTCAATTTCAAAAAATCCACTGCCAGGCTAGGTTCTCTTTGTTTTTCATTCCCTATATTTACCTTTTTCAATCATGAAAAATGCCGTCAAAACATCTTTGCAGAACCAATCAGCCACGGGTTCCATTGCTAACTTCTACGCAGTCCAGCTCCAACTTCTTTGCCGAGAGCATAAGCATGCCACCTCAGCGTCTGCTCTTCTTCGATCAATCCATGCCAACATGATCACCTCCGGATTCAGCCCGCGTAGCCACATCCTTAATAGCTTAATCAATATCTATTGCAAAAATTCCGGTCTTGTTTATGCAAAGCACCTGTTTGATAGAATTCCCCAACCAGATGTAGTGGCCAGAACAACTATGATTGCTGCATACTCTGCTTCCGGAGAACCCAAGCTTGCAAGAGAGGTTTTTGACAAAACCCCATTAAGTATCCGTGACACTGTTTGTTACAACGCTATGATTACAGGCTATTCACACAACAACGATGGCCATGCTGCTATAAAATTATTTCTTGATATGAGGTGGAAAAATTTTCTACCCGATGAGTATACCTACACCTCCGTACTTGCAGCCTTAGCCCTTATAGCTGATCATGAAATGCACTGCCGGCAGCTGCATTGTGCTGTTGCAAAGTCAGGCATGGCCAACTTTAAGTGTGTTGTCAATGCACTTATATCTGTTTATGTCAGATGTGCTTCGTCACCCCTAGCATCATCCTTGCTGTTGATGGACTCAGCTAGCAAGTTGTTTTATGAGATGCCAGAACGGGATGACTTGTCTTGGACTACGATTATCACAGGGTATGTGAAGAATGATGATCTTGATGCTGCTCGGAAGGTGTTTGATGGTATGGATGAGAAGTTGCTTGTGGCATGGAATGCCATGATCTCCGGATATGTGCATAAAGGTTTCATCTTTGAAGCATTAGATATGTTAAGGAAAATGTATTTAGCAGGGATGAAGCCAGATGAGTTTACCTGCACCAGTATCCTCAGTGCTTGTGCCGATGCTGGACTGTTTCTTCTAGGAAAGCAGGTGCATGCTTATGTTAGACGAACAGAAGAGAAAATTCATGTGTCTGTATATAATGCTTTAATAACATTATATTGGAAATGTGGTAGAGTTGATGATGCAAGAAAAGTTTTTGATAATCTAGTTTTTAAGGACCTTGTTTCATGGAATGCAGTTCTATCAGCATATGTGAGTGCAGGGCGGATTAATGAAGCTAAGTTATTTTTTGATGAGATGCCAGAGAAGAATTCCCTGGCATGGACAGTAATGATATCAGGATTAGCACAAAATGGACTTGGAGAAGATGGTCTCAAACTGTTCAACCAAATGAGAGTAAAGGGGATCGAGCTGTGTGACTATGCATTTGCTGGAGCTATTACATCTTGTGCAGTGCTTGGAGCGCTAGAAACAGGATGCCAACTCCATGCTCAACTAATCCAGCGTGGTTATGATTCAAGCCTTTCAGCTGGAAATGCATTAGTCACATTTTATGGAAGATCTGGGGTCATTGAAGCTGCACGTAATGTGTTCCTCACTATGCCTTGTGTAGATTTGGTGTCTTGGAATGCATTGGTTGCTGCCTTGGGACAGCATGGATATGGTGTTCAAGCGGTTGAACTTTTTGAACAGATGTTAGATGAAAATATAATGCCTGATAGGATAAGCTTTCTCACGGTTATATCTGCTTGTAGTCATGCCGGATTGGTTGAAAAGGGACGACACTACTTTAATATAATGCACAGTGTTTATAAAATAAGCCCTGGAGAAGATCACTATGCCCGTTTAATTGATTTGTTGTCTCGAGCTGGAAGGTTATTAGAAGCAAAAGAAGTGATCCAGAATATGCCTTATAAACCTGGAGCACCCATTTGGGAAGCTCTTCTTGCTGGTTGCCGAACTCATAGGAACGTGGATTTGGGGGTTGAAGCAGCAGAACAACTCTTTGAGTTGACGCCACAACATGATGGAACCTACATACTTCTAGCTAACACATTTGCTGCTGCAGGCCGATGGGATGACGCTGCTAAGGTGAGAAAACTGATGAGAGACCAAGGGGTGAAAAAAGAGCCTGGATGTAGTTGGATAAAGGTTGAGAATACCGTTCATGTCTTTTTGGTGGGTGATACTGCACATCCTGAAATTCAAGTAGTGTACAACTACCTGGAGGAATTAAGGCTGAAGATGAGGAAAATGGGATATGTTCCAGACACGCAATATGTGTTGCATGATATGGAGACTGAGCAAAAGGAGTATGCTCTTTCAACTCATAGTGAAAAGCTGGCGGTTGTATTTGGGCTCTTGAAGCTTCCTCGTGGAGCCACAATTAGGGTCTTCAAGAACCTTCGGATTTGTGGTGACTGCCACAATGCCTTCAAGTTCATGTCGAAGGTTGAGGCAAGAGAAATCATCGTCAGAGATGGAAATAGGTTTCATCATTTCAGGGATGGTGAATGCTCATGTGGGAATTACTGGTGAGATACCGGATAAGATTAGAGTCACCTATTGAGTGTCTTTGGTTCTGGAGGTTTGAATATGTCATTCTGGAACCGGTTGTATTGCCAGGGAAAAGTTGCAGCACCTTTGGACAGTAAATGTAAGACTTCAAAGCTAGAAGCAGGAATGTGCTGCTATCTTGTTTGGCTGTGGCATTTTGAATACAGATCTTCACGGTGAATGTTTCTGGTTTGTGGTTTCCGGGTTGGTGAATGCTCATTGGTACCTTATTGATACTTAAATCAAGATGCATATGCCTTATAGTTATACACAACTGAGTAATTATCAAGGAAAATAAATTACCGCTCCAGAATGCTCCCACTTTGTGAATATTTGCCTTGATTAAAAACTTTGAGTGCCAAAGGGTGGAGAGACTCTCTGCTTGTTTAGTGGTAGAAGAATGATGCAGTTGCAATTTCTAGAATCCTCAAGCACAAAGGTACTAATATCAGAGAAATATGTTCCCATGAAACATGTCTCTGTGTTATGCACTTTATTGAGAGAACTATTTTATGCACTATATATGAAATAAATTAGCTCTGTTCCTGGGGAATTCCCACCCCAGTTTTCTTACCTTAGGATTTAGATTGTAATTTGTTTTATTTAAAATTGAATGAATTTAATTGAATGAGATTCTCTTTGTAAGGATTTGATACCTGGGTCTAATTCTACTCCAAAAAGCTAGCTCATGAGGGGAGGATTTGCCAAGTCCATATTAGCAGACCACCAGTCCATTCCCAACCAATGCGAGACTATAACCCACTCGTACACTCTTTAGGTTCAAGTTGTTATCTTTTTCGACTTTGATGAATTCATTGTTCTGCATTCTCTGTGTCATCTGGTCTTTAATTATAACCACTCACCCAATTTAGCTAGAATTTCATTTTACAAATGGTTTGTTGTGTTCCTTATCTACATGCTGAAAGTTACCTTATTTGCCTGTTTCCACTGACAGATGAGATACTTTTTTTTTTATTTCAGGGGTACAGCTTACAGTCCATGCAAAGAAGACATCTTCATGTCCTCCACTGATTCCATCTGACAACATCTACCAAATTTAATTGACTATCTTTCACGACCATTGCTTTAAATAAGCATAGGGCTGAAGGCAGACTTGGTTTGCTGCAATTGTCCTTGCGCTGGCTCATCTGTCTCTTTAGCAAGTGAACTGCTTTTTCACGTGCCCTAATTGGACTTGTTGAACTCAAGAGTTGCTCTCTACTTGTGACTGTTCTGATCAGCTGTATGCTTTGTTCAGGATGCTCTGTGCACCAGATATACTTGTATTTGAAGGAGTTTCCCCCTATTATCTGGTGCAGAGTAGCTGATCTTCTTGCTTAACTCAACTAGACCAGCCACTCTTTAATCGGAGTTGTTTGAAATGGCTTTATCTAGGCTTGATCCCAGCCACTGAAAATTATTGTTTGTGGGATCACTGAAGTTTTCATGAACAACAATTGATCTTAGCTAACTCTGAAATCAGTCTCGCATTCAATTCACTCTTGAGAAGAACCAAAGGATTTGACAGAGGTTGTAGATACTAGAAGTTAAATCACTATAGTATAGATTCACTTATCATAATTTTTCTTATCTGTTAGGGTTAGACACAGAAGTTTGTTTACTTAATCGTTGTACTTTACTCATCTCTCCTGGAATCTTACATTTGAATGCAAGCACATGTTGTAATTCTACAATTTTGTTTTATAATGGGTTTGCTTACTTTAAGCTTCTGATTGTTCTTCCTGCATCACCTGCACGTAACCCTATGTAATTGTTTTGCCTAAATGGACAACAAATATAACAACTGCCCTATTGATTACATTTTCAATAAGAAAAGACACGGACGGTTGTAGAAGATTCTTTTATTTCTAGTGTATGGATATTGCATAGAAGGTCGTACTCGATGTTATCAATGTGAACACACATAATTTTGTTTGCTGGCTATGTTGATGTCATAGCAAAGATCATAACAGATGAAAAAGTCGTGACTTTTGGCCTCTTCTTTCCTTTCTGGTAGTAGTTATAGTCCTAACATAGATTTTCTTGCAAATTGGTTTGCAGTTGATAGACAATGGAGCAAGGAAGAGTTGAGAAAGCACATCATATTGTGGTGCTAGCAGATCAGGGACAGGGCCATATTAATCCGATGCTCCAATTCTCAAAACGCCTGGCTTCCAAAGGAATCAAAATCACTGTAGCCACCACACTCTCCAATGCAAAGTCCATGAAAACTACTTTATCTTACTCCATGATCACTTTTGAATCCATTTACGATGATTGCTCCCAAGGCGGGGTGGTAGGTCCTGGAGGTTTCAAAGGATTTCTAGACAGATTCCAGGCCAGTGGCTCAACAAACCTCACCAGATTCATCTTGGATCATGAACACCCTGTTAAGTGCCTTGTTTATGATGCTAACATTCCCTGGGCTTCCAAAATTACAACCCAATTGGGCATAGCCGGCGCAGCCTTTTTCACTCAATCATGTGCTACTGCTGCTACCTACTATCCTATGTACTGTGAGGTTTATGAAAAGACTCCTCTTTCCATGCCTAGTTTTCCGGTAATCACAGGATTGCCAAAGCTCAGGTTTCCGAATCTGCCATCTCTTGGTTGTAGCACTGGTCGGTATCCCCCAATAATCATTCACATACTTGGCCAGTTTGACAACTTTGGAAAGGCAGACTGGGTCCTCTTTAACTCATTCGATAAGTTGGAAGAAGAGGTAGGTACACCATATCTCATGTGCTCTTTCAATCTTTTCTAGCTAGTCTTGATTATGTATGCACGCCAGACTTGGGGACAAGAAGTTAATAATACTTCAGGCTGGTAATGTATTGTTTTCTTGTCGAAGAACTGTAACTTTAAAGAACCTATAACTCACATTTGATTTGTTGTTCTCAAGCTTTAAAAGCTTATAACTTGCTGGAATTTTTCAGCGCCAAGTATAACTTGTTGGGACAGGTGGGGAAGAGGGACAAAGTGAAGACGGGGATTACTCAAACGAGTTGAATAAGCAAGCCAATAAGATCAAATTGCTCTTGTTGAACCAGCTACTAATCACCAAGTCCTTTGTTTAGCCATGCTATTTAGTTGATTTTAAGGAAGATGAATTGTTTGACTCACTCAGCTAATTAATCTGAATTTAGGTTGTCGAATGGATGAAGAAAGTTTGGAATGTAGTAACGATAGGTCCAACATTGCCATCATTTTATCTTGACAAACGAGTTGAAAATGATAACGAGTATGGCTTCAATATTCATAAGCCAAATTCTAGCAATTGCATGGAGTGGCTTGACAGTAAGAAAACTGGATCAGTCGTCTACGTCTCTTTTGGAAGTGCAGCAAATTTGTGTGCCGAACAAGTAACAGAACTAGCTGATGCTCTCAGGCAAAGCAACATTATGTTCTTATGGGTGGTGAAACCTGATGAACAGAGTAAGCTTCCCATCGATTTCAGCAAAGAGACATCAGGTAAGGGATTGGTTGTGACATGGTGCTCACAATTAGAGGTGCTAGCACATCATGCAATCGGATGCTTCATATCACATTGTGGATGGAACTCAACCTTAGAAGCAATAAGCTTCGGTGTGCCTATAGTTGCAATGCCTCAAATATTAGACCAAATAATCAACGCGCATTTTCTAGAGAAAGTTTGGAGTGTGGGGTTGATAGCTAAAGCAAATGAGGATGAGAAAGGTGTCACTGCAAGTGAAGAGATATACAGGTGCATCAGGGAAGTTTTAGAAGGAGAGAGAGGACAAGAAATTAGAAAGAATATTACTAGCTTGAAAGAATTGGCTAAGGAGGCAATTGACATAAGTGGAAGTTCAGACAAGCATATTGATGAGTTCATTTCACAGCTTGATCCTGTCTACTTGAGACACAGATCAAACTACAACTGAAATTGTACAATTTATCTGACTTGTCTTGTGAAGTATATTCTATGTTTGATTAAATGCTCCTGGTGTTGCTTCACATTATATCGCACACATAAATTCGTACATTACTTGTGTATTTATATACTCGAGGAAAACGAAATGGAGCAATCAAACATTGTACTTATTAAACTACTACAATATTGATTTCTATGCAAACATTAAGTAGGTTTTTGAAGTTTGAACATATGCAATCAAACCTTCTTGTTTGTCTCGATATTTTTTGGCTGCTGTAACAAAACGTTGTTATAGAGAAGGCTAGTAACTCAAACGAGTTCCTCAATGGTTGTACAGACTCCCTTATAGTTATACCCTCTTCCTTTTGTATCTACTCCCTAGTGACTTAGTAACTATTGTAACCATGCACAATGCTCCAAGTTTAATCTCTGTTTTACCCGGAAAAAAGAAGTTTAAAATAAACAAGGAAAATAATTTTATAAAAAAACTGGTGTATCAGAGAATAATATGGTATTTGATGATTAATAATTGTTTCATTCCATACGAGAAAAAAAATCCTAATTTGCTACAGTCGCATATTCTCTATTTTCTGTACAAAATAAAAAAAATTTATGTTAAATGTAAATATAATTTAGTAAAGAGTGAAAAATGTCCAAAAATTTCTGATCCCTAAACAGTAATAAAGCTCAAAATTTTGAGGAAAAAAGAAGGTCGCCATGTTTGCTGAGATTACTGAGCTTGGAGGAGGTTGCCATGCCCAAGCAAATTCCCGCGCTGTACAATTGGTCTCTCTCTTCCTGCGGGTTAGTCAATAATTTATTTTCTCTACTAACCAAATTCCTCTCTAACAAAACTTTTCGATAGTACGTTTCTGTTTCTTTTCTGCGCATTATGGAATCTGAACCCTTAAATTTGGAAAACGATGCAATGGAGTTCGATATGGGTTCTGCCGAAGAAGATAACCTCAATGCTTCTGGTGAGGATTTAGGACTACAGTGTTCTTCTTCCGACTTAGAACCCTACGAGGGCATGGAATTCGAATCTGAGCAGGCTGCTAGGATTTTCTACAACTCCTATGCCCGCAGAGTTGGGTTTGGCACTCGGGTCAGCGCTTATCGACGTTCACGTCGTGATAACTCTATTAGTACCCGCCAATTGGTATGTTCCAAAGAGGGTTTTAACCCTAGGCCTGATAATGGTGCTCAACACAAACCCAAGCGACAGCGGATTGTCTCTAGGGTCGGCTGTAAGGCTCACTTGACTGTAAAGAAACAGACTTCTGGTAAGTGGGCTATTACTAAATTCATCAAGGACCATAATCATGAGCTTGTACCCCCTGATCAAGTCCACTTGATTCGATCACATAGGCATGTTTCTGGTCCTGCCCGCAGCTTGATTGATACGCTCCAAGCTGCTGGTTTGGGCGCTACTGGTGTTATGTCTGTCCTAATAAAGCAATCTGGTGGGGTTAATAACGTTGGTTTCACAAAAGTTGATTGCCAGAATTATATGAACCAAAGCAGGCAAAGGACTCTAGGGAGTGGTGCTCACTATATTTTTGAGTATTTGAAGCAGAAGCAGGCTGAGGATCCTGATTTCTTTTATGCTGTTCAAGATGGTTCATCGGGAAACATCTTTTGGGCCGACTCAACCTCTAGAAAGAACTACTCTTATTTTGGAGATACAGTTACATTTGATACCACCTATAGGACTCACCGATACCGGGTGCCCTTTGCACCATTTATAGGAGTAAACCATCATTGTCAACCTGTTTTATTTGGCTGTGCCCTGCTTCTCAATGAATCAGAGTCATCATTCATTTGGCTATTCGAAAATTGGCTTGCTGCAATGTCTGGTTGCCATCCTATTTCTATAACTTCAGATCATGATAGGATCATCAGGTCAGCCATATTAGACGTATTTCCAGGCACTCGTCACCGCTTCTGCAAATCCAATATTTTTAGAGAAGCACAGGAGAGGCTCTCACACTCACTCCAGTCATTCCCCACTTTTGAAGCAGAATTCCATAAATGTGTCAACTTGACTGAGACAATTGCGGAGTTTGAATTATGTTGGGGATCCCTACTTGGAAGATACAATCTGATAGATGATGAATGGCTTCAGTCAATGTACGATGCTCGACAACACTGGGTTCCAGTTTACCTTCGAGATACATTCTTTGGAGATACATCTATTGCTAAAACTAGTGATAGTACAAACTCATTCTTCGATGGATATATAGATGCATCGACTAACATTCACATCCTAATGAGTCAGTATGAAAAAGCTACTGCAAGCAGGCATGAGAAGGAGGTGAAGGCGGAGTATGATACCATAAATATTGCTCCTATTTTGAAGACCCCATCTCCCATGGAAAAACAAGCAGCTAACATTTATACTAGGGAAATATTTTTGATGTTCCAACAAGAACTAATGGAAACTTTGGCTTATCCTGCAACTGTAATTAATGATGCAGGATCAGATGTAATATATCAAGTGGTAAAATTTGGAGAGGACCATAAAGTACATTATGTCCAATATAATGTCGTTGAGAAGAAAGCTAGCTGTAGTTGCCAATTGTTTGACTTTTCAGGTATTCTTTGTAGGCACATTTTAGCTGTTTTTAGAGTGAAAAATGTTCTGAGGCTTCTATCACATAATGTACTAAAACGTTGGACAAGAAAAGCCAAGAGTGATGTTGTATTGGATGAAGACAAACTTGGATTGCCAAGTAGCCATAACGACTCCTTCACTGATCGCTTTGAAAAGTTAAGCCTAGAAACAACTAACTACGTCAAAGAAGGAGTGGATTCGAAAAGTGTGTACCTAGTTGCTATGGATGCTTTATGTGAAGCTTCCAAGAAGGTTGCTGCTGCTATGTGCGGTACTCCAGCACAGCCACTGAGTCAAGACATGAACAAAGAAAAGGAATTCAACTTGAATGGAAATCAAACTGATTGTGATGATCCCAGCTTGCTGGTAATTTTTTTTTCTTTGAACTCTTTCGTCTCCACCTAGAAATTAGGGGGAGGTTCTTTCTGCTGGTGTTATATCATGCATTTTGTTTTACCACAAGTTTGTATTAATTTTTTGTCTTCCTTCTTGGTGATTAAGCATTGGTATGGAAGTGGAAGTAAATCAGAGAGATCGTCTATCCCTAAATCTTTTACCTATATTGTATGTTGTGGCTTTGTAGTGTTGCTAAATTGTACATTGTAACTTCTAAACATTAGTTACTGCATCAAGAATTTATGGCATTCACTGCACCCAAAGGCATGACCTAGTGGTCAATGAAAATGGAACTAAAATCATAGGAGAATAAGGTATGAATCCCCCAAGAGTAAAAAATGTTGGCTACTTGCGGAAGGAATTACCCTGTACTTGTACTAGTGGAAAGGTTCTGGTACCGCATGAAATAGTCAAGACGCTCTCAAATTGGTCCGTCACCATCGCTATACAAAAAAGAAAAGAAACAGGAACAGCGGCAGCGGCATTCACAAGATTTATTGCAAAGAGGAGGAGAGGAGAGGGGGGTGGGGGGAACACAGGGGGCCTAAATCTGTCTGTATTGAGAATTTAAAGAGGTCAAAATGCTCGATGTTTGTCGGACTCCTCAAAAATGACATCAGGTGCATGTCAGACCCTTCAAAAGTAGTGCAGTTTTGGAGGATTCAACACGGGTGTGGCAACATTTTTGGAGAGTCCGAGCAACTTAGAAAATACTCATTAGGAAAACAGAAGTGTTGGCTCTACATTTTTTCCTTTTTATTAGTATAGCCAACTTTTGCTATTGCTAAACTTAACCATTCAGCGCTCAAATCATTGCTCCCCTTAAGGTTCTGATCATAAGTCATCTGCTTGCGCTTTAGTCTCTGATTTTTCATTGTTTGTGTTATTTATCTGTTTTTCTTTTTTTTAAATATAACAAATTCAACAGTTGCAGTTTGCAACTAAGAGATGTTGAATCTGTGATAGCTGCTGAATAAGGGACTCTAAGTGAATTGTTTCTTTCTCGTCTCCAGAAGCCCATACCAAATGATTAATGAATTTTGCTTCTTGCATCTTGACACCTTGTAGATATTCACTGGTCACATCTTCACATGCGTTACTTTTATTTGGTGTCAGTAGACCTTGAGAGTATTATGAAATTTATATTTCTTAGATTGTGAATTAGTCTAATGAATTAGCATTGTCAGTGTTTGAAGGTCAGATGAAGTTCCGTTGCTACCTATGAGTTAAAATTGTGAATTAGTCTAATGAATTAAAATTCCTATGATTTTATGAGTTGAATAAGAAACATTGACCTTCGCATTAGCAATTCTGACTTGTGGTTTTATAAAGTAAATCCTGACAACTAGATTTCCCTAATAGTTTTCTGATGCTCTTTGTACCATTCATGCATTACTAATTTGAGTGTGCAACTGACACTATGCATTTCTTTTACCTTTTGTAGAGTCAAGATGAGAAAATTAAGGAATTAACGACTGCTATGGTATATGCAACTGAGACCTGTGAAGCTTATCGAGCAAAATTGTTGAGTATCTTGAGAGAAATGGAGGAGCAGAGGCTGAGAATATCTTTGAAGGTGCAGAGTATGAGGCTTAATCGAATAACTTGAGCTATAGAAGGCACTTCAAATTCTTTGTATATATACATAACCAGTGGAGAAACTTGTGACTCCCAAAGTATCTCGAGCACTTTTTGCCTCTCGGGATTGCATGTGTTATCGTCTTGCTTGTAATATAAGAGTTTCCATCTATAGGGTTGAATTAGATCTGACCCGAGAGCTGTATTTAGGTAAAGGAGGTAACTAGGTGTTGTACGTGTATGAACTGATTTTGCATCTGCTAAGCGGCCTTTTAGGTATTGATTTATGTCGAGGAGTACTTGTATAGGCAGCAACCTGTATTTTGTAAATCCTTGTGCAAGGAATGACAAAAAAGAAGGGTTCTTTGAAACATGAAATAATTGCATTCTCTTGTCCACTGTCTCTGCTAGTACAAATACGGGTTGCTCTTCATTATTAATACACACTTGTATTTTAATTATGTTCAATTAATCGATCATCTAATCATCATATATATGAACGTCACTTAATCTTTACATAACTCAAACCTTCAATCCATAACCACTTGTGTTTCAGCATCCTTCTTTATAGAAAACCTACTTCCCAATGTATTCATTCACTCACCATAAAATTATAATTTTCTTCAAACCGAAAGACTCTTTCAAGATAAGGTTAAAAATTATGAAGTGGGTTCTTAAATCGAATTGAAAAGTACCTCCTTAATTTTGTAGTTTGATAGCTGGTGTACACATGCCGAGGACTAAACTGATTATTTTTTAAAATAATTGGAAACTATTTTCATCATATTTATTCATGAAGGACCAAATGAAATCAAACTCCATACAATTAAGGACCATGTTGATAATTTTCTAACGTGGTAAAGAAAGGAAAAAAGAAACTACGTATAGGGAATTCGAAAAGTAGAGGGGTAGTTATGGAATTAGGAAATCACAGTGAATCTCGTTTGAAATTCAAAAATGGTGCCGTTGTGCAAGATGTAGGCGGTTCAGTATATAAAACGGGTCACTGAGACGCTCCATTAGAGAAATCCCCAGAAGCATACACACACACACACAAACACAGCGAGAGAGAAGAAATGGAGGCTGCTAAAAATGTTGGTAAGAGTGTATCGGCGATGGAGGCATTCGAGAAGCTGGAGAAAGTTGGGGAGGGTACCTATGGAAAGGTGTACAGAGCGAGAGATAGGGTTACTGGCAAGATTGTTGCGCTGAAGAAGACGAGGCTTCATGAGGACGAAGAAGGTGTTCCTCCAACTACTCTCCGTGAGATCTCACTCCTCAGAATGCTCTCAAGGGATCCCCACATTGTTAGGTATCCTCCTTACTCAATTTCTCGCATTTCTAGGGTTTTTTTTTTTTTTTTTTTTTACACTTTCAATTGAGATTTCATTTCTATCTGATTGGGGCGGGTTATATCTATTTCATTTAGTTTTGTATATTTCACTCTTTAGGTTTGTCATTTGTTATTGATAACTGTATCTTGCGTTTTTATATGATGTCCTATAATTGTACAATCAGGCTGATGGATGTTAAACAAGGGCAGAACAAAGAAGGAAAGACTGTTCTTTACTTGGTCTTTGAGTACATGGATACTGATGTCAAGAAATTTATTCGTACTTTCCGTGCAAAAGGAGAAACTATGCCCCTTAAAATTGTCAAGGTTTGTAGTCTAAATGATCGGAGTTGTATGCTACTTTCTCACACATTTGTTACTCTGCAGTTTAATGTTTAATAAATTTGTGCTCTTTGAAACAGAGCTTGATGTACCAGCTCTGCAAAGGGGTTGCTTTCTGCCATGGTCATGGTGTGTTGCACAGGTAAAACCACACTTGTGCCTTTTGGTTATACACAAACTCATAAAGATGTGCTTTTCATGGTTCGTTTTGTCACTTTTTCAATTTGTTGCTGCAGGGATCTGAAACCACACAATCTTCTGATGGACCGTAAGACGAATGTGCTCAAATTAGCAGATTTTGGACTTGGCAGAGCTTATACTCTACCCATTAAGAAGTACACGCATGAGGTAATTTTACTGTTCTGCTGCAGCAGCTATCCTGATTTATCTCTGCTCTTTAGATCCCCCTGTGTGAAAATATTCCCTTTTTACTTCAGATATTAACCCTGTGGTATAGAGCCCCTGAGGTTCTTCTTGGAGCTACTCATTACTCCACAGCAGTTGACATGTGGTCTGTTGGTTGTATATTTGGTAAAACTCTTATTCATCCTTCCTCTTCCGAATGATCTTTTCCTCCTTATAGGTTGTGTAATATACTAAGCATGGTGTTATAATTGTTCTTTCTTTTGTGGTTTGTTTTCAACCTCAGCTGAACTAGTGACAAACCAGGCCCTCTTCCCAGGAGACTCTGAGCTGCAACAACTGCTTCACATTTTCAGGTTTAGAGCTAAAAATCACCAGCTTTGAGCTTTGTTCCTCCTTACCTTTTCCACTATTCTAATCTTAACAGAATTGCGGTGCAGATTGCTAGGTACTCCTAACGAAGAACTCTGGCCTGGGGTGAGCAAGTTAGTTAACTGGCATGAATACCCCCAATGGAAACCACAGCCACTCTCAACTGTTGTCCCTGGTCTTGATGAAGATGGGATTCACCTTCTCAGTGTAGGTTTTTCTTTTTTTCTTTTACGATTGTCTGACTTTATTAGCCTGTTCCGAATGAGTGGATGATTTATGGTGTGAACAATTTGTGTTTGCAGGAGATGTTGCATTATGAGCCGTCTAGGAGGATTTCAGCTAAGAAAGCTATGGAACATCCCTATTTTCATGATCTCGACAAAACTCCTCTCTGAAAGTCAGCACAGGACCCATGTGTTGAAGTTCCAACTTGATCAACAAAACTCGTCTAACCTTGTCGCAAGCTTTTATTGCTTTTCTCAAGCATCTTTTATTAGTAGTATCAATTAGTATGATGATGCGTTTCATCTTTAAACATAGTCTTTTAATATCAACTGGACCAATGTAAGCACAACTATGTGCAATGATACATTTTGCCATCACATTACTTGGGTTGTTTAGCTGCAAATTGTCTTCAAAGTTTAATAATCGCTGTGCCTACTTTATTTTTCTTTGCTTATTATCTCTAAATGCCTTGAACAGCTGAGTACAACATGTCTTCTCCGCTTCACTACTCCAAGAATGCCTTGTTTTAGAGAAAGCAACTGTGTTTGTGTGGGTCATGTTATTAATAATTTCCTTGCGAAATGAGCATTGCTTGAAGAAACGACACTATCTTTATTTGCACTTAAATCCCCAACAAGCCTTGGAGCTTTTTTGCTGTTGATATCACTGGTTTATATTAATGATTACATCTAACAGGGTTAAACTTTTAGTTCCTGATTTTCGTTATCATAGTAGACTGGTGGACATGTCAACTTGTTTATGTCTGATATTAAAAAAATGAAGTTAAGATACAAGCCACATGAAGAATGTTGTCCACAGAGTAAGCGCTATTGAAGCCAATGCATAAGCCCAAAACATAATCACTGAACACTCACTCTCACCAGCTCCAAATAACTGTGTTATGGTGCCTGCCAAGTGAAACAAGAATTGTGTCATCTCATCTAAGACTTTGTATTGCAACAGACACATTTACATTAATGCCACAAGTGGTTACTGTCAAGAATTGTCTTGTCCATTTAATGCAGAGCAAACATAGGGATCTTTGGGGTTTTGAAATTGTGGTCCGGCCAAAAAAAAACACGAAAAGAACAGGACAGATGATAACTAGTTGAATGTCATACCAATGTTCATTGCTGGTGGAAGTGCAAATTGAAGTAAAAGCACAAATTGATATAATGGATCATGTTGCACCAAGCCCAAGCGAATAGCTCCTTTGATTACAACGATACCAATAAGAGGAAGGGCAATGTATCTGACAACAATAATGCCAAGAAGTAGGGATTTCTGAATCCCTGAACCGGTCAAACCCTTCAAAAGGTTACCTCCCATGATCAGCGTTAGAAGTGGAATGGCTCCATCCCTGCAATCATTTCAACAAGTCAAAGATGCTTTATGGATTACATTCAGTGACGCGACCAAGTAGCACAAGTTTTGATTTTGTGACATTATCTCCAGATTGATCTACAGCTAGAAAGCATATCATAAATGGCTACAAAATGGCATTCTAAAGCGATTGCATTTTATGCAGGCACTCTCAAGGTATAGCAGTTTTATTTTTTGATTGATTCTCAAAATATGAACCAATTGTTATAGTCTATTCACACACACTAGTAGTTGTGTCATACCCTAGTAAAATAGCTGAATTTTCGATTACACGTAAAGGAGCTACATCACCAATCATCAACTTCCTTATCTGAGGTACAAGTCCAACTATAAAACCTGCAATCTGTAAAAAAAATAAAAAAAAAAAAACTGACCACTTGTTAGTGCGCTAGTGCAACTTGTGAATTTATTCAGCATGTAGATACTGGAGACTGCTAATGTCTAGAGGATCTATAAAATGCTAAACATAGAATAGTCTTTTTTATCGCCAAAGAAGAATTCCTAACCTAAGTCATGTGTCTCATTGTTTTTGAAACCACATAATGACAGATGATGTCAATGAACTACTCCAATGGGTGTAAGTGTGCTCATGCAGCTACAGATGCCTATAATAATCAAGGATTTACAGAATTTAGTACACATTGAAAACCACCCTACAAATTACAAACAAGGAGCTTGTACATTGATGGTTGCCAAACGACAACCCTTCGTAAGAAGAATTCTTTAAGAACAGAAATAATAAGAAATTTTTCAGGGTGGATAGGTTTTTTAAAACATGTCTTGCTATTACTCCTTAAAAAATAGGTTTGAGGTTTTATGTAATTGATTAGTTGCAACTGCATGACCGAAAAACTTCAATGTGTCTTTCTTTTAGACACAGTATATTAGAAGCACTAAACTAGAATTAGGACAATTGTGCAATATAAACAAGTTCAGAAAAAGGAACAGCAATAGAACAATACCGCTCCAGTAGTAGAAGGGGCCAATAACCTCTTCAGGTTGATCTTCCTTGAAACATTTTCCATGAACTGCTTTAGTCTAGTACCAAGGTGGGCCTGTTACAAAAATACAAACAATCAATATCAAAAATTGATGCATAATTTTGTTTATTATGATACGTAAATAACTTATGGAAAAAAAAAACATGCTTAAACAGAGAGCATCTTCATATTTGTGCAGATCCAACATTGAGCAAATTAATTGATGTGAAAACATCAAATATAAAATAAGTGAAATCTGGTATGGATGTGTGAAAATGAAATCCTGTTCGAATCAGATTCTTAGAACCCTCAAACAATCAATAATGAGACCAGTGTGCATCATTTAAACTCAAAACTGTAGTGCACCATCTCAACTATCTACTATGGCGTAATATCAGCAGAATTGCTGAACATTAATGTTGCATAGCATTATGTGTCATAGCTCATGTGATGAATCCTTTACAACAACTTCTGGCTATAAGATTAACCCTACTTCACCATCTCCATTTAGTCATCTACCAGTTCTAGAGGGCCTCTCTTGATCATGTTATTCATATGCAAGTTTTCCTATCTAACATCTTTTTCCTAATTAGTTTTCTTTCTGTCTGTGGGGTAAGGAGTGGGAGAAGACTCTGGTTGTTGCATAGCCTGTAATATCCAAGATTGAGAGGTGGAACAATAATCAACCTGAGTTTTGTGATCAAATCTAGTGGAAGGAAGCCCAAGTTGTTCTGGTGGGGCCTTCGCCGGAAGTAGTGATTCTGTTGATATAGAGCCTTCTCTCGAAGATATACTGGCGGAGGAATCATTGATCTCAACTTCCTTTGAGCTCCTACTTGATGATATTCTCACAATATTATAAACATAAGACCATAGATAAATTGCCCCTACCTGAAGTAGAACAGTCACCGGGAAAGCATCAGATTTCCTTAGCATCAAAAGTCGTGGATTTTGCCAGAAAGGTATTCATGTTTATACAAGTATACTATGGCCATAAAGTTAATGTTGGAGACCCTTCTAATAATGTAATAAAATCCTGAAACCAACTAAAGTAGTTAAGAGACACATACTGCCATCGAAAGTGAAGCATAGCTCATTCCATATGTATGACAAACACCAGGATCCCCAAAAGGGCTCCCTTTCTCTTTACAAACGGCTGGAATAATAATGAGAAGCATGTTGCCCAAGTTTCCTGTCCATGCAAAGTAAAATTGTAATTTTATATAACTTGAATACTACAGAAGCAACTCATCTCATTGTACAAGAGAGCTCTTTCGCATCCTTTTTTTTTTTTGATAACCGAGAAATCCGTCTGTGACCCTCCCTTTGGACCAATCACAGCCTTCTAAACTCGGTGGATAATGGGCCTGCCCCCCTACCCTTCTCCACTTAAATACCGGGCTTCGCTTTGCATGGTGTGGGGCTTGAACCTGCGACCGAAGCCACAAATCCTCCACCTTTTGCCACTTGAGCTAGGCCTTGGGGGCAAAAATTATCTTTCACATCCTTGTTCATCCTATTTCTTCATGAATTATTTGAAATAAGTTAGTTGATTTATTCCCATTTGTCTAATAATTGGTGGACAAAGTTAACGGTGGCATCCACCGCTGGTAGGCAGCAGCAGGTACGAGGTGAACTAGTCGAGGTGCGCGCAAACGGCACCTTTGTATAAAAAGAAAACAGTAGGCTTTTTTTTTTTTTTCCTTTGGCTAATTTTATTTCTTGGATACTGGAAATTTCTTATGCATGTCTTAAATAATCCATTAACAATATTTTCCGCACCTCCATGGCTATTAACTTTTTGATTGAATATTCATAATGTGATTTGACCAGAAGAAAGCAGACATGCACCAAGGGTCAACACAGTGACCAGGAACATTTTTCTAAATTCTTTCGTTCAATTTTTCTCATTTCCATGACCCAAAATGTACTTGTACCTAAAGAAACAAACTGCCTACATTAAAGATTACACAGTAACAAGGTATGCTACTGTCTCATTCCAAGGTAAAGTTATTTTGCCTATCACATTGGTTCTAAAAGTATGTGAAAAATAAACAATTTGCTTGGTTTTCCATCTCCAACACCTTTATGGTGAAACTTGAATGATCTCACAATTCCATTCTCTGTTTAATTAAAGCAAAATAGCATCATATCTGGAGAAAATACTCCAACCAACACGCATTTTAAACAGAATTCATACAAAATCTTGAGAGACTCATTCCGCACAGAATTGCAGAGCAGCAAAATAATTAGGCTAGTCATACTATGTTGTATATCTACTTTAACCTTGATAAGGAAATTGTTATCAATTGAGTTGATAAGGTGCAAAAAAGATTCTCATAACTCGGAATGGATTTGAAATCTCAAGATCATATTTTAGCAGAATAAGGAAGGTTAGCTAGTAAAACAGCCTGTATCTCTCAGTTGGTTCAACCTAATTAAATATACAGAGTCAACAGTAAGATTCTCTGATCACGACTATCTTTATTTTCCAATTAATTTTTGTCCAAAACTGGGGTATTACTAGTGTTTTCCACATAGTTGCTGAGTATATAAATTTTATTTCAGGACAGAACAACTTGTGCTAAGCTGGTCAGGTCCCTCATAAATGAAACCAAATGTGCTCATAGTTAGCATCAACTATATCATCAGAGTTACAGTTATCTTCATCAATGAGGTTTTACGTACATACCTGCAGCACAACAGCCAACAACCAGTCCACGTAGATGTTGGGGAGGCCTTGTAATTTGAAGGACTACCCAACCAAGAATTGAACCAACAATAAAAGTGAAGAGTATATTGAAAGGCATGAACCACCTACAATTGCAACCGAGTGAATAGGAGATACATGTAAGGTTTTAGTGAATAAAATGGATATGCGAAACTCACAATTTTTTCAGGCTTTCATATGTGATTGTTTTGGCTAAATTGCTGGAGACGAGGGCTGGATTCAATACAAAAAATACTATCTGTTCGCAGGAGAAGTATCAGCATTGAACAACAAATTAGGGCAACGTTACCTCTTTAGGAAAAGAG